AACTTTACTCAGTTGTGGTCTTGAAACTTTGCCTTGCGGCATTCTAAAACCACTAACTATATGACTTGAACAGTATAACCATTAATAAATAACTATACTAAACTTTAAGGAAATTGTTAATTTTCCGAAAACACCTAGCTTGTGCTAGAGTTCCGGTTAATATCTTTCTAGCTTCTTCTCGCCATTTCTTACTTATGGCTTTTAACTCATCATTTATCTTTGGGGACAAATACTTTCTCCAAAGAGATAAAAAAAAACATATTAGTCTTTACTTATTAAATAGACTATCTTTAACTTTCACATGTCCAGATTACTCTTGCTTAACCTAAAAAAATTCTTCCTAAAAACTTAAATACTTATCTCGGTATCTGGAATGTGTTACTTATTAACTGATATCTTTTAAGGTTCGATTTCAAGTCTCCAGGAAATTCGGACTTAATAACCCTTTTTTCAGGTTTCCAAAATTTTCCCGGCTACATGACTATTATATGTCGATACCTAAATCTTTATACTCATTGATTTCTGAAACGTACTTGGTAGACTTGTTCTTATTCTACAAGTACTAATATAAATAACTTATAACTTTATCTCGAACATTGCCACTTTTTAACTCATGATATCTAACTGATAAGATATCAAAACTTCTGATTATAAAAATCGAATATTTTCTTGAAAATTTATTTCTTACGGTTCAGTTTTCAAGCCTACAGGATCTGATCCAGCTTGTGGTTCTTATTTCAAACCCCCATGATGTTTCCCGTACTTTTTGGCTATTATATACTGACATACCGTTACTTCTTATACTTGGCTCAAATACATCGTCAATCTTTATAATCAGATCTTAACTTGAACCTTATTCTTATGGCTTAACTTAGAATGTTCGAGTTCTTTCTTAATCTAGTCAACTTGATAAACTAGATTTCAAACTTTAATACTTGAACATATAAACAAATTTCTAGAGTTCGCATATCTGAATCTTATTGAGCATAGACTTAGTAAATTTGAATATATTGAAAAACTTGTATAAAACTTTTAACAGCACTTACCTGGTAGTTGACGAGGAGTGAGTGTGGTGTGGTCGGGTTTTCTTGAAATTCTCTGTAAAACCTTTGATTTCTCTAAAAACTTTCTCTTTCAGAACTTAAACTTTTAGTATACAGAACATTTAAAACTCTAGCTCTGGTACCACCTGTAACACCCCGCTTATCAGAGTAAATTTTTCGCAACTTTTACTTCGAAAATACTTAACTCTTTAGAAATCTTTTACGACTAACTCGGGATGCTACTCAAACTCATCATCTTGAAAATCCGTTTATCTTTAAACTTTTGTCTAATACTTCTTTAGACATAAATAAAACAGATTTCCTTTAAACTTGCATTTAAAATACCATAATCATTTTTCTCATAATGGTAAAAACTTGAAATATGAAATTCATTAAAATGCAAGTTCAATACTTAATGTGCATAGCAGAAATACTTGAAAATGTGGTTAATTATACAGACTGTTATAAATGTCCGTATCAAAGCTTGTCTTCATCTGAGTCCACGATCCACACCAACACTACTCCACTCACACCTCCTCTTCGACCTGTTACCTGAAACTAAAACTCATGGGGGTGAGTAACGAATATGGATAATCATAAACCGATATCTGATCGGTAACCAGAAATCTGTTCTGGTACTGAAACTTAAACTGGCCGATATCTGATCGGATACGTGTGCACACTCTGATGGATATTTCTAAGGCACCTAATGGCCTCCATCAGAACTTAGGATATAATCTCTGAGAACAAATTAATGCCTCCTCATCCTAAGCGTAAAACTTAAACTGTAGGATATACTCTGAGACAACTGACGGTCTCCTCATCCCATATGACGTCAATATCGTACTCAACGTGATACCCATTCAGGGTCCCCACCTTTTTGTCTTTGAAATCATTTGAAAAATGATAAGTGCTGTACTGGTACTGTATCTGCAAGTTACATCAAATATAAACAAATATACTAAGTACTATGCTCGTATTCTAAATAAGAATTTTAGGATTATTAACTTATCCAAATCTTATAGAAATTCATTAAACTTGCTTTTTCTCAAGTTTATACTTAACTTAACTTTTCTTGAACTTATACTCAAGTATATTATAAATCATGTCTTCAAAATCATAAATATTGACTTATACTTGCATGTCACTTAAATAACTCGAGTGTGAAAATAACTAAATTTCACATTATACTTGATTGAGTACTTAAACTCAAAACATGCTTATCTTTTACCAACATCATATTCATAATTTATAAAACTTTATAAACTAACTTACATGATACTAAAATCTCAACTTAATACTCAACAATTCAACTTTTAATCATAATATTAAATTATGATCTTAATATAAAGATTTAAAACAATCTTATAAAATTGTATACTCAACATATTAAACTAAAACTTTATCAAATTGTCTATCACTCATATGAAAATTATTCATAATAATCTCACTTTAAAATTTGAACATATAATGAATATTCTTGCATATATACTCATCTTTACATATATTCCATATAAATATTTTAACTCGTTCATTTCTCAACATAAAATCACGAAATTTGGCAGTCATGTTCTTAACCCATATACAAGCATATCGTAAAAATTTCATAATTTTATCATGCGTATATATCGAGTTATTACAATTTTAAAGTCACAGCTGAAATAAAGAACATAAAATTCAACTTGCATGCTTAACTTCAAAAATTTATAACTCAAGCTATACTATGTCAAATGATATAATTCATTCACCTATATACTCAGCACTTACACAAGAAATATCCATAATAAGCTTAACATGCCAGGTTATGCATATCATGCTCAAATTCAAATCAAAACAGTACATATATAACATGTGATTGTGCTGGAAACAACTTATCCTTTTTTTTTTTCTTGTTTAAAATTTCTTTAAAAATTGAATATATATATATGGCATGAAAATACATCAATATTCACTTAATATAAACTATAACATATGATAAAAAGGTAGCATCTAACCTTCTTCAAGAAATTTGAAAATGAA